GGGGGGGGGGGGGGGTGTAAGATACACTTTAAGGAGTTTTAACATGGACAGTAGATTTATGAGAATGTTTTATTGCTGTTTTATTGAATCTGTCCTTACTTTTTCTTTTATTTGCTGGTATGGGCTTTTGACACAGAAAAACAAAAAATACATACACCATATTGTCAGTCTTTGCCGTAAAATCGCTAATGTCCCATTAAATAACATCACTACTCTCCGTAGAAACAGATCTTGAAGAAAGCTCAGGCAATTTTAGCTGAGCCTAACCACCCCCTCTTCAAAGAGTTTTCTCTTTTAGCAGATTTGCTGTAAAAAGATGTTGAACCAACAGATTTAAGAATTCCTTTTTAACTTCTGTGATCGTCATTTTAAATACTTCTGATTGTTGTGTGTTTGTAGTTTTTACGCATATACCATGATGGTTTTATGTTTGTTTTTTTTACTGTTTTTGTGGTTGATTATCGTTTTTTGTTCCTGCTGGCTGTGACACAAATTGCCCCATGGGGATATTAAAGATTACTTGACTTGAGGCGGGGCAAGATGGCGGAGGAGTGAGTCGTGTGTCGTGTGGGCTTCCGCTCCGACTAGCACGTTTTATGGTTCTCTACTAAATGTCCTTGCTATTTTGAGCATTTGGTCCATCCGGACTCGACCCCTGAGTGATTCTTGCCTGGAAAAGTAGAAGAATGGCGACAAACTCGAGGAAAGGCAAACATTCCAGCTCTGCGGCTGTTAGGCCTGACGCCATCTCGGAGCAGGCTGCAGCTAAAACTGGATTTTCGGCGCCCTCCTTCTCCCTCCCGCAGCGAGGTGGACACACTCTCCTTACAGTCTGACATTCTTGCCGCTATAAAAACCGARCTCTCAGCTGTGATCAAATCCGAAATAAAGGCGGCTTTGGCTGAAGAGTTTACACTTATTAAAGGAGAGCTACAAGCGGTGAGAGCTGAAGTGGCTAACGGCACGATGCTACTTCGTGCTGACTTAGACCACCTTAAGCAGAGCGTTAAGGAGGTGGAGGACGGCTGTCAACCTGGTCCGATGAGGTTGTTTCTCTGCGCACCACRGTTTTGGAACTGAAAGAAGAAGTRGATGGGCTCAAAAYGAAGTGTGACGATATGGAAGGGCGCATGAGAAGGTGCAATGTGCGGATTATTGGAGTTCCAGAGACGCCAGAATCCAGCTCCACTTCAGCAGTGGCTAAACTGCTAGCAGAGGTTCTACAGATGGATAAAGAGCCACTGGTTGACCGAGCCCATCGCTCTCCACGTGGAAACAGATCAGGCGATAAGCTGCGGGTTATTGTCGCTAAGCTGCACTARTATCAAGAATGTGTGGAAATATTACGTCGAGCGTGGACCCACGGCCATCTTCGTTTTAAAGAGWCACKYATRATCATCACATCTGACTACACGGCGGCTGTGGCCAAGGCTCGAGCGGCGTTTACGGAGGTGAGGAGGCTCCTTCGCAACTGACGTGATGTTCGTTATGGCCTGCTTTTTCCTGCACGGCTTCACATCTCTCATGGGGAGGAAAACAAGGAGTTCCTGGATGCCAATAAAGCAATGGACTACGTTAAAA